ACCTGTCAAGTATTGACTATAATTTCTGTAAGCCACATTTAACTACTTCCAGGAAGTCAACAGGGTCAAACTGACAGTGTAAGGTGGTGGTATGAACAGACTGTACTGCATTAACTCCCTTGCTTTTCCTACTGTCAGGCCCTGAAAGAATTTTATGCAAATCTTAGGGAAAAAAAAAAGTCTCATCTTCCCAGCGAGACTGCTTTGATAGCAGATCTTTTATGTGTGAAGGAAACCACATTTGGCTTTCAGTAATGAGAGCATGACCTAGTGACTAGATCTTATTAAACACACAGAGAAGGAGATGTGATGGGAGCTAGCACCTTTCCTCCATAAATACTTTCCTGAACACTTTCTATGTATATCCCTGTGAGAAGGGATTTAAAACTTTGTTCAGAAGGTAATGTTAAAAAGAGGGTTGTTGATAGCAAACAAGAAAAACCTCAACAACTTCATCTTAGAGAAAAATCCAGTGGATGTCACTGGCTACAACTACCTGATGTTTTGTGTTTTCTGGAACATAAGTAAAGCCAGGTCAAATGGGAAGAGCTGGATATGAAGATAGAAATGTAAGTATGACAGAAAAATATTACCATAAGAAAAGCAAAGCAGGGAGGTAAAGAAGAGCATTGCATACCCAAAAATTATGCTTAAGCAACAGCTGCATAAATACTCTGCAGTATTTAAGTACCTTCAAGTTACGTACTGATCCAACAAGTTCATAATTTGTTATTGTGCTTTGATCATTTTGTAAAGCTTAAGTTACATGAAGGTTTCCTTGCAAAGTAACTGGAGATTTGAAACCATACTGCAACTTGCACGTGCCCTAAGAGACTGACATCAAAGATGTGTATCTGTACTTATAAGCTATACTTGCTTAGAAAGTTAACCTAAAATTATCGATAACATAGATGTCTTACAAGATAAAGTATTTTTTTAAGAAGTTTGTTTGGTTCTGCTTTATTTCTTTTAATTTTTGTTCCTTTCATGCAGTGAGAGCTTGTTACATCATCATCATGAAAACTTAAAAAAAAGTCCCCACATCTTCTTTACTATCACAAACAGATTCCCTGACATTGCGCTGTTAGAGAAGAGTAGATGGAATATGTGACCTTTACAGCATCAGTCATTTTTTAACTTAATTAGAAAAATCTCAGAATAGCTCCAGAGGAAAACTCTTTCACCACATTTTATGACTAGACTTTTAGTATTAAGTCTAGGATATTGAAGTATTTGAAGAAAGAGGTCACAAGTGAAGGAGAATGTACAGATATATAGAATTGTAGGCAGTAGAGACATATTATACACTCACATTAATCTTTTCAGGTGATGTGAAGTTATATGAAAATGGTTTTGTAATCATAGTACTGTAGTTCAATAATCAGTAAACATTCTGGGAAATGTTCCTTGTAATGCTGAAGAGCTGAATATACCTCTAGAAAAAAAAAAAAACTTCAAAACAGCTATAGAAGGCAATGCAAACAAACAAAGTCAGTGAAGTACCAAAGGTACAGAACTGGAAATGTAAGGACAATACTGTTCCCAGTAAGATAAAAGATAAAGTTCCCATTGACTTTTTGATTACAGTGGACTTGTACAGACAAAAATCTCTCAGTTATAACAGAGGGCCAGTTACTACCTCCAGCCAGGGAATGGGCATAATGTTTCTTACTCAGCATGAGACTAACATAAAATATAGTGAATGTTAGTTCAAAGTCTTACTGTTGCAACTATGGAATGAAGAAACAGGAAGCATCAAGTGTGGAATACCTAACTTATTGCTCTCACAAATCTATGCTCTCCTTTATAGGTATTATTCTAAAACATCTCATTTAATCTTAATTGTTAAATTGCTTTGCTGAATATTTCTACTTAATTAAAAGTAGAAAAATATATCTCTATGTTCTCATCAATGGCAACAGGGCTACCAAGGTTGCCTTCAGCTGCGAACATTTTTTTTTAAGAGGAAAAAGATTTTCTAAAGTATAATAGCTTTATGATTTAGCTTGAGATCAGAGTACAAAACTCTGTAAACTCTGATAGTACCAAATAGTATTGAAATGAGAAGAAAGGAAATGGGTCATAGTTAACTTCTCTGGTAGTCCTGCTTAATTTGACTCCACTGTAAATACTCAATGGGCCCAAGTAATCATTTGGAACTGGACTTCGGTGTATGCAAGAGCTTACAAATTTGTGAGAAAGCTGCATTAATCTACTGCTCTTAATCAGAATAACAAAGGTTCCAGTCAACTGCTACATAGCACATGAGGAGTCATTGGAATTACTTGCTGTACCTTATCCACATTGCTGTTATTCTCCTCTTCCCACCCCCAAGACACACACAGGAAACAGCTCATTGACAAGCACATTGTTTAGCAGCTTCGGGTGCCACACCTATATAAACTCGTGCCCATGCCTGTTGCATTGCCTACTACGCTACTAACCCTAACCAGGTCAGGACCAAATAACTGCATGCGTACACCAATATGATGAACAGCAAAATGAAGATTATTGCACATGAACTCTAGCTTATAAACACTAAGTGCATCGTCTACGCCCCTAAAGTGTGTGCTACACATCAATCTAACAGCTTGGGAGGTCCTGCTGCATCACACACCCAGGGGTGTCACGCAGTCACCTGCTGCAATTCCCCCGCTCCAAGCTCAATAAAACATACCCATTACAAGGCAATCTGCCAAATAATCCTACCCTAACCAATTAATAACCTATTAACTAAATGATCCCAATGTCCTAAATGTGAGATCTACATAAAGTGACATATTGAATTCTTAGACGATGCTGATTCGTTCGGCGCCTGTACGCGCCTGTACGCGCCTGTACGCGCCTGTACGCGCCTG